CGGCCGCTCGGGCGCCGGGCTGCCCGCCCCCGCCGCGCCCGCACTCGCCCCCGCGCCCGGGATGTGCAGCGCAGTGAATGCAGCTCTATTACAAATACCAATACAGTCGAAATTTGAATATCTTGTTTGAATTTATTACATAAGGTAAATACAACTTTAAACCTTGACAATAAAGTTGATATTCGAATGACACTTGTTTCACGGGATAATAGAATACTCTACTAACCATGAGTTTCTAAGACCAAAATCTCTTAAAATCTTTATAACATTGCTATCTCTGTCAAAGATAATGAAAGGGATGATGATATATTTGACAAAAAGATTTTGCTCTCAAAAACCCACACTAAGACTGTTGTTTGTTTAGCACATTTATAATAGGAAATAATAGATATAAAGGGTGTTACAATTTTCATATTACCTGTGTTTGACATTTGGTGAGAATAGCCTTATTATGAGAGCACAAACATGCTCTTTGAGTAGAAATCTAAATTCTTGAATCTGAAAGCGAAAAACCAACACATTTTCATTTTCAATTCCATCTTAATAAATATAGAAAGTTCTAGAAATGATCCTCACTTTAAAGAACACTTCGGAGAAATCAGTCAGCACAGTATCGAGCAGCTCCAGACCGAATGTCTTTGGCACATCAGATATACCGACCAACCAATGCGCAGCATCACCGTTTATTAATTGTATTATATCCTTGAAGAAAAAAAAAAAAACAAATGAAAAAACTTTAACATATAATTCTAATTACAAAATACCACAACAAATTGTTTAATGTATTTTTGATGTTATTCAAAAATAATCTTGTCATCTGATAATACAAAATTCTTCAAGATAACAAGCCTTTTTGTTGTAATTAAGAATACACCTATTTATACTTTATAAAGTACTAGCGGACCCGACAGACGTTGTCCTGTCTACACGTCTTTAATTTGAATAAATTAATATGAAGTTAATATTTGATGAAAATTGTGAATCTAAACCATTCCCAGATCCCCTTGAACACACACAAAAAATTTCATCAAAATCGCTCCAGTCGTTTGAGAGAAGTTCAGTGACATACACACTCACAGAAGAATTATATATATAAAGATTTCATAATATTTTTATGTGTACAGTCAGCCGCATAAATATGTATATGTTCACAATGCTTCAGAAACTTGTATATCCCTTCAATTTCGAAAATATGTATGCAATATGTATACATATCCGTCTATATTCTTTCGACCATAAATACATACTAATGTTGAATCCCAAAGATGGATGGATGGATGGATGTTTCTTACTAAATATCTCCAGAACGGCTAAACGGATCTCTATGCTCTAGATATAGATCATAGTCTGAAAGAACACATAGGCCACTAATTAAGTTTTTTTTTTGTGGACGACAACTATGGTTTACTTATTTATGCAGCTGACTGTACATACTAGTCCTTGAAGTAGTACTTACTTGCAATATAAGATATGCGTCAGTTGCACAAGGCTTCAGTTCTTTAGGCGCTTTTGTATTTGTTTGTAATCTCACATCTGCGGGATTCACTTTCAATTTACCTTTAATAGAAAAAAAAAAGGTAAAGTACAAGAAATTCATAATCTTACTACTAATAATGCGAATGTTTGGATGTATGTATAGAAGATAAAAGGTATCTTCAAAATAATGAAACTGAACTCTGAAATTTGCTATAAATATGGAACACAGGCTAAGTATGATCCCAGAAATATATAGGGTTCCCTTATTTACTTGATAATTCTACGACAGTTCGACCTATTTCAAAGAAATTTAACGTAAATTAATATTAATTAAAAAAGAAGAAACAAGTATGTTAGATTCCGACATATTAATTTAGCTTCTTCTTCTCTTCTGTAGTTAAACATAACTATCTTTGAACTATACCATAAAATATCCTTAAATCCCATACAATGACAAAGATCATTTAATTATCTTATAATAATATTACCATCAGCCTCAGCAAGAGCACGTTCAAACACAAGTGCAACAAGCTGCCGCACAGTAGCTGCTGCTGCATGACTGGTGCTGACATCACGCGCTTCACTGGCAGACACCGTGCGCATACACATCACCATTGTCTGTAAATATATCTTACTAATATTATAAATGCAAATGCTAACATGGATGTATGGATGTTTGTTTGAAGGTATCCCCGGAACGGCTGCATGGATCTCATTGAAATTTGGCAAGGATGTAGAACATAGTCTGAACAAACACATAGGCTACTTATTAAGTTTTTTTAAAAATTCAGTATGGAAGGAGTCGCGGAAAATTGGTATTAGAGACAAATCTTATGAGCAATATTTAATTGTTAGTTTAATAAGCAAAATTATCATCAATTTTTTAGTCAAAGTTTATATAAGTTTGTTTAAATATCCTCCTTATTAAAAAGAATATATAATATACAAAATATAATATAATTTGCTCTCACTCTTGCTAATGTATCTCCGTGCACAAGATCAGATGTGGTCATCAAAAGTGCAGCAGTCTGTAGTAGCTTCAGCTCCAGCACTCCTGCCTGACCGAGATTGTACAAGCAATCCACCACATGTCTGGCTCCCTTTGCATCAATCCCTTGCTGAGCTATTAAACGCTGTATTGTGCCCAGACAGAACTGGAAAATTGTTTACAATAGAGTTAAATAAGTAACCTGAGATGAAAAACCCCATTTGAAATTTCTTTTTTTTTTTTCAAAGATAATGATTGGGATGATGTTATGTAGCATTTTATACACAGATTTTTGTGTCAGAAACCAATGGTTAGTTATATAAATTTTATTCAAAACACTCTGTATTGCTAAGTGTAAGATTATTGGTATATTTATGTTTGTTTGTTCTTACATATACATGACATAATTTACTAAGAAACCATAATGACTTCTGATTTGAGTAAAATACATAAAGTATTATGTAAAATCATTTTAAAAATTCAGCTAAATTAAAAATGATTATTTATGTTCACCTTGATAATTTTTATATCTTTTGATTCACACCCTTGCACTAAGGGATATAGTATTTGATTCACTACTCCATACAATGATGCTTGTGGATTATTTGAAGCAAGGGCTAATTTCTCTATAGCCTCATCACATGCCTGAAAAAAAACAAATTATAA